CAGTTCGAGGTGAACTTTTCCGAGGGATGTCATCCACTGCAGCTTGCGGGTCTTTTTATACCGTTCAAAAGATTCTTCGTATTGTTTCATAACCCTTGATATAAATGTTATACACCTGAGATAAGCAATTATATGAGCACGGCGTTGAAAAGTGCAAGCACTCACTCTTGTATTGGTTGCGGCACATTAAAGTCCTCATTCCGCAAAGTAGGCCAAAAAAGACGCGATATTATCGTCGTATGCAGTAAAGCGGACTGTAAAGTAGTAAATAGAATAAATAAAAAGCACTAGGACTGCTACAGATTCTGTCATGTTTCCTACTTCGTTTTCATCCCGTCCTTTTCCCTCCGGATACACGTAATGGTCGATTCTCTTTGAGTCAGCAATGTCTTTGATCATGACTTCAGTATGTTGCATTTTCGTTTCTCCGAAACGAAGTTTAAACAACTCAAGTTTCGTAATCTGGACATGGATAAGTAAATGCATGACCGACGAGTATACGATTAATGACATTGTCTAAGACGTGACTAGAACCAAAGTCGGAACCGGACAACGTTAATATAACATTAAATACTACCTCCGTCTCGGTCTCAAAGTCTGTTTTGTTAAGCAGCTTGATTCCCATCTGGTTTTGTATTTCTCTTGTGATAGGTTCAGTATCGTCAAATATACTAATTAGTAGATTAGTGATATCTGCCGACCTATACACCGATGACTTGTAATCTTAATAGACGTCAGTACAATTTTTATTTGTCAAACAAAACAAGTTCGAAAGATGTATCTTTCTCACTTGGTCCAGCGTCAACAGGATCAGGGACCCAGTTGTCGTTCTCAAAGTACGCGGTATCCTCTGCATCTTCGGTAGGTACAGGAATTTCAGCTTTCCCGAGCTCTTCTATCAATTCGGGATCGTTTCCTTGATCGTCTGTCCATGCAGTCACAAGGCATTTAACAGTATCAGTACGGGTTCTATAATCAAGATAAAGACGACAATAGTCAATACAGTCATAAAGAGCAACCAAAGTCATCTGAATTACAGTAAATGAACCAAACCTTAAATAGTCTCGGATAGGTCCAGTTACTTTTTCAAGCAGGACGCCGGGAGGATCGAGTAATCTCAAACATTTGATTGTGGATATATAGCCTTTAAGTATGTCCGATGTGGCAGCACCAGGAATAAGAAGACGCTTCTGAAACCTATTGGAGACAAATTGAATGAGTAATTTCATATTACGCAAATATAAATAAGATATTTTACACAATGCGACTTACGATGAATGAAGTGATTTGACTACTCTATGCCGATAGTCTTGGTCAAGACTTTTCACACAGAGCTGCAAGGAAAAAAATCATGAGAAACATCTTTCAAGACTGTCCAAATATCAACATTTTGGTTGTCTAATACGCACGACTAAATCATCAATAGCAGGCTTTGAATCTGGATAGTCGATTATTATGTCAAATAGTTCCGAGATTCTATTAGGCAAAATTTGGAATGTGTTAATTCCGCAGCCAATCTACCAGCAAAAAATTTGCGCGTTACTATGTTGATATTCCCTAGGTACCTCAAATCGCAGAACATCATGCATAAATGATAATTAAGCCTTTTCGACCATACTGTCAAGCTTTCTATAAACAAAGCGTAGAGATTTGTCACTCCTGTTAAAACATGCGTGTCGCGGAGCCATAGCTTAACCTACCATCAGCATCACCATTTTCCGGTAAGACATTGCTCAACCAAGGGTACACCCATTCATACAACCATTTCGTCGCCCTCTTCAATATCGGCTTATCAAACACTTTTCGACATCGTTTTATTACTCTGTTCTCAATCTCCTCACATAATACTTCTTCAAGAGTATCTTTTGTGCGATATATCAAATCCAAAGCCTCAAGTTCACGAGACAATTGTACAAAGTGCTGGCCGAGTACGTCTAAATCTGGTGTCATTATATCGCTCTCCCTCCCATCCTCGTCAACGTTCTCTTCCTCGTCCGTACTAAGATTAAATAATTCGTCATTCTCGTCGTCCTCGCTCATTTCATATACCTCAGGTTCCTTTCCTTCCTCTTTCTTATCCCTTTCATCCGCAAAACTTTCTCCCTCTTCATCTCCACCATTTCCTTCCTCTTCGCACTTTCTATCTTGAAGAGCATAAATAGCGCTCAACGCGTCTTTGGATTTCCATGCAAATAGTTCCTTGGTATTAATTTTCTCCAACTTTACGCGTTCCTTCTTACGCGTTGATGGAATTCGGAAGAAACTACGGTAGAGAAGTCTGGCAAGATCTGTAAACAACGAAGCGTTCGAAGAGGCGGATGGAGTGGAGAATGGTTTTGTCATTTCGCGGAGAGAGGAATAGAGAATCGTGTGGTAACGAGCGTGAAATTGGTACAAAGTATCGGCACTAATTTCGTCGTACCGTAGAATACAGATTGAGAGTATGTCACCAGGGAACATGTTATAAAATAATTTAGCATCTTGTTAGTACGTTCTGTTAATACAATACCGTAAGACTATTTATGCCAAATACTGCTATGTGCGTGATTCACTATTGAATTAAGCGACGAAAGATCTTGTCAATAGAAATTTTCTTATGCAAACCTAGCATACATCAATAAAAAAGGCCTTTCACACTTCTGATAATGCTTATATATGTCATGAATCAGCAAAGTATAACTGGAGAGAAGAAAATACCGAACTTCACGTGGTAAAGATACGCGTGTAAGGTGTGAGACCTCATCGAATTAGAAATCACACAATGTGAGTCAAAGAGAAACAAAAGAAATGCCTGAACGAAGATTTAATGGTTTTTTCCACCACATACCCATTCCTTCCGCCATTGCTTCAATCTTTCGTCAAATTCCTTTTCAAAGTCCTCGCAAACGGTGTCTACAAAAACAACATCACCACCAAATGTTAAGTTTTTATTCAAAATGTGTTGCAAAATTTTTCCTACGCAATTCTCACCAAGATACCATTCTAACATTTTCTCGGCAATGGGGAAATGTTTAATCTTGTCTAATCCATCCATGACTTCTTTTGGCGGTTTGGTATCTGAGTATCATGTATGTACTGTGAATTAGGGTAAAAAGAGTCATTAGAAGCATTCAGTAGAATATAGTTACCTTGTTCATTGCGCGGGTGCATCCAGTTCGTTATTATATTCCATGACTTTTTGATAGCATTGCAAAACAAACGCATCATATGATTACTTCGTAAATGCATCTGTAATTGATTCGAAACAAGATCGGAATCGTTCGTTACCTTTTCTAATTCCAACAGGACTTGGAGTTTTGTCGGTTGGATAGCATCATAATCAACTTGCGGCTCGAGTGAAGTGTTCTGATCCATATCTTATAGAGGAAATAGAGTGAAATCTGTGGTACAATCACTGATTATCTTTATCATTACTCACGTGCCGTCAAACTCTAATATTTAGAATTTGGGGCAGAATTTGAACAATAGAAGAGTATATGTTTGAGCTTTACGGGTGGACCCCAAAAGTCGGTTTAATAAGTAGATTTTAATATTCATGTTCCGAATGCAAGCTATAAGGAACAATTTTCGCTCCTCACACTTATGCGTCAGACGCACCAAGTCAAAAATTAAGAATTAAATCTATTTCTTCCGTAATATACTTGAATCTTTGTCTTAATCCAATTACTCGCCAAAGAATAGGGATAAACTGCCAAGGGTCTGCTGTTGTAGTGATATAAAACATTGTCCTGAACCATATGGGTAGCTACGGCCATACACAGTGAAAAGCACCGGAACCCGTCCGATCTCCGCAGTTAAGCCACTGGTGGCCTGGTCAGTACTACGGTTGGGGACAACGTGGGAATACCAGGTGCCGTAGCTTTTCTATCAAATATGAAGCTAACCGCAATCTTTTCTTTTCAACCTTACACATTCGGCAAGTGATAAAACATGAATGGATAATATATTTGTCGATGTGACCAGATAAACAACCATATAGTCTCCTTTCCGTTGCGTTGTGTATACTCGTTAATCGTAGGTGCAGGCAATAATGAACGCAAAACTCCGAATATCGTTAATTTGCTGTATGCGCAACTGAGAACGATGTAGCTGATCTGATCAATAGACGTTTAATTGGAATACTTGTTAACTAGTTTTCGCAGAGCAAATGGTCCCGTTAACCGATGCCGTGAAACATTGTTGATTTAAACAAATGAGGACAGCATTATATTTAATAATCCCTAATAATACAATCGTTATGCTGAACTATATCACAGGAAAAGGGACGATGCACTGTAGATGCTGCTATCGCGTCGTTGGTCGTTATTGTTAACCTAGGCTGCTTTCTTGTTGTAAAATGGGAAAATTAGGAAACGGAATAAAAAATAATTGTATATTAATATTTCGGACCACATACTTGATTGAATTCGGGAATGCCAGTATGATACAAGATAAAAACTTGATTGAAATCTCTTGTTAATGGAAAGGCTTCTGCCATTTTGAACGTGGAATGATCCTCACCTTGCTATCACGGAGATAATATCCTAATTAAAATTTTAACCGATCCAGAATTCTTATTATGCAAAGCAAGTGTGGAAACGTACGACCAAACAATTTAACCCAGGATATTTCTCCATAAAGATTTCGTTCTGCCGCAGCTCCTTACAGAGAGTCGCTCGAAAATGTAATCCGAATTAGCAAACAAGCTTCTGGCTAACCGGTAAGGGGATGTCGTAGGACGATAATGTTTAAACAGGAGCAGAAACGAGATTATTTTAATAGCGTAGATTACGTAAGTGCAGTGGCAACACGTGCTAGTATAAGATTATCGCCAGAAAGAAACATGGCAAAAAAGCTCAGCAAACTGGTTAGGACAACAATAGGCACAACCAATCTCGCTAACCCATATGGAATCACGATATCAACATTGCACACAATGAATTATAAATAAAGTTAGAAGTTGATGACATATTCATGAAATGAATTCATCGTGACAACATTACAACATACATTACGAAATCTTTGTAATAATAGCGCGCGCGCACGCGCTTGACCCTAAACTAAACACCGCAACAACCGCGCCGCCAATGCTTTTCTTTTAGTACTACGCCTTTATGTACTTTTTATTCTCCATCAAAAACCATGACATCAACCCCCGCCGTCGACCAATTTATTAAGAGTACATGTGTTTCAAATTAATTTCTATAAAAGGATTATTAAATTTAAAGAATCTTTTGAACGGTATAAAAAGACCCGCAAGCTGCAGTGGATGACATCCCTCGGAAAAGTTCACCTCGAACTG